ATGTATGGGGTGGCGAGACACAAAGGAGGCTGTTTGGAGTAAGCGAGAGGGAGTAGAGAGTGAGAGGTACTTGCACCTGGAATCTGGACTTCAGGAAGACATTGAGTGACTTTTGGGCTTCCCCTCAAGAGGGAGACTTGATCGGAGGCTGCCATATCTGCATCGGATTGCTGCAAGTTGCTACTTTGGTCTTCAGGCATCGACGGGGGATCCCGCTTTGCAACAGGGGTGTAGGAAGGCCCTCTTAGTCATGCTAGGACACTTCGTGTAGTGGTAGCTAGGGGTCAGGAGGACTTATATGAGAGGGGAGTGACTCGTTATCCATCTTTGGAGGCCGGGCCTCACAGGTAAGTGTCGTGTGACCTGGGTAAGCCCGTGGGAGGTTGCTTGGTGCTTCATGGCCTGTTGGGGGTGTGTTGGGTTCTCTTCCTCTTCTCTGCGGTCTTGGTTGTGTGTGTGAGCTTGTGGATTGCTTTCTGACCTGATGGATGGATAGATGATGTATCTACTCTAAATGACATATCTTTCTACGGTGCATTGTCTTTTCATTTCTGAACAGCTGTAGAAGTGAGTTCTTGCTGAAAGTTGTCTTTTCCTTTTCAGTACGGTAGAGGCAGTTTGGGACCGACTTGGCACCCCTATCACGTTGGTCCTGGTCCACGGCCTACTTGGGACCCCTCGGGACCCAATGGGACCAGGCCCAACGGGACAGGACCTTTTGGGCCCAAAACTGTTGCCGCCAGTATCGAGACGCGTGCGCAGACAGCGAAAAGAGAAGAAAGGGAGAGAGAAGGTGTGCTGTTTGAGAGTGTGAGAAGGGGAAAGAGGAGTGTTCGTCCAAACGTAAGGAGAGAGCGGACCCCTCTTGAGACTTCTATTAACACCCCTTCCTTCGGCATGGCGAACATCACGTCTGCCCAATGGCAGGCCATGCTGGATACAGCGGACGAGAGCCAGAAACCATTCTTTCAAAAACTGTATGATGATGCCGTGCAGAGGGAAAGGGAGGCAGCGGCAGCAGCTAGAGCCGCCGACATTGTTGATCAGGTGGCTCTCCTTCGGATCCCGGAAGCCAATGCTGACCGGTTCCAGGAGGAACTAGCTGCTGCTGTAGCAGCCCTGGTCCGACTGCGGACCTTGGAAAACCTTGAGTCTCGTATGACAGCGCTTGAGCAGCGGAACGAAGAGCTCCAGGCTAAAGTAATTAGCCTTGAACAGTCCCAATTGTCTGCCTCCCGCCCTCCTAACCCTCGATCTGCTATAATCCCAACCTCTCAAGCCAACACAGCCCTCGTGACAAGGGCGAGCGGAACTGTGGCAAGCGCAGGAACCGGCGCCAGCTCCTCGAGCAGCAGCACCGACAGTTTTGCGCTGGTCACGGTCCGGAATGCAGGGACTTCAGCCCAAAACGCCACAGTCCTTACTGGCGTTCAGTACAACGATCCCATGGTGGACAAGCGGGCGGCCACGCTGCCGTCCAAGTACGACGGGAAGGCAGACATCACCTCTTGGATTAGTTCCATGCGGTCGTACTTCGAGGTCATGCGGACACCGCAAGAGGACCGAAGTATGATCATGGGAACTAATACCGAGCCTGCCGTACGAAACCACATTGAGCTCCAAGTTGTTGCTGCAGGCTATGCACGCATAGACCTGACTGATTGGCTGAAGGTCACCCCTGTCCGCGTTCTTGAGGATCTTCTCCTTGACCGGTACCAGGATAAACATGCTGCGCTCAAGGCTAGGCTGAAGCTTGAGGCCCTCAAGGGCCAAACATGGAGGTCATCCATGCAGGCTTTGGAACAACACTTGATTAGTCTGTTCACCACTCCGGATCTGGGAATGACTGACGTATCTTGTATGGATGTAGTCATGGGAGTGGCCCCTAAAGATTACCTCTCCCAGCTAGCACTCAAGGACCATGCCACCTGGCGAGAGCTCATGAAGGACCTAGTCGACCTAGAGGCTAAGGACCTCGCCAGGCGCAAGAAGGCGCCCGCTGCAGGTGGGAAACCACAACGCAAGAGGTTTGGAAGCAGCAACCAGCTTGCAGTGCATGATCATCGGGAGGCTGACAATCAGTCCTATGCGGATGATCTGTCTCTAGATGACGATCTAGAGCCGGCCTCCGATACGGGCTGTTCCACATCAGCCATTGAGTGTGACAGAAATGATGATGAGAAACTTAATGCATTTAGAAAGACTGCTTCAAATAAGGGGCCTAACCGTGGTTCAGGTAAGGGAACTGTCTTACACCTTCCCAAAAATGCTAAGGTCCCTCAGAAACCGGAGGACGCTTCTACCAAGCCTTGGGAAGCCCTCCGCATCAGCCAAAAAGAATGGGAAAGAAGGTCCAAACTGCGCGTATGATTGCATTGTTCAAAGCCTGGGCATGCTGTGCAGGATTGTTATCGTCTTCAGGGAAATAGGCAAGGGGCGTAGAGGAGTCATCAGCACTCTCTACAGCAAGGGAAGCTGGGCAGTCAGTTGCACGCCCTTCCGAGAAGCCTGGATCTCATCAGCAGCGTGCTCTTGAAGCCCAAACTAATGCTGAATCCAAGGCTGATGCAGTCCAAGTATTGTACACTGAGCCTTGGGAGGAGTCTAAAGAGGTCGACCTCCACGCCCACATGAAGCATTGGCTGCAGCTCAAGCAGCAACGCCGTGTTCAAGGGAGCATGGAGCTGATTTTCTTTAAACTACTCATTAACCGCCGATACATCCGTGTGCTGATTGACAGTGGTTCGACCACTAATTTCTTCTCTCTGAACGAGATTCGTAAGGCAGGCCTGGGTATGAAGCAAGTGGAACTGCAGAACCCTTGCCGGACTCAGGTGGGCAACCAAGAGGTTGCCCTTTCCACTCATGCTCTCAAAGGTGTGCACATCACCTTTGACAAAGATCGCACTGTCACACATGAGCTGAATTTTTACGTCCTGGACAGGTGTCCTTTCGACGCGGTCATTGGCTTGGGCTGGCTAAAGGCTCATTGCCTAAGGACCACGTGGGCGGACAACCAGTTTGTGGTACTTGACGCCAAGGGGAACGAGCGTACCGTCTTGTTAGATGAGACGCGCGAGTCCCCTGTGACTCTTCTCAGTGCTAACAAATTCTGCATGTGCAGGCGCAAGGAAGCGGAGTTTGTACATGTAGCTCTTGTAAAGCCTCTCCATGTGCCTTCTACTTTTGCTGCATTTTCTACATCGGTAAGTAACTCTACTTCTAATCCATCTACTTCTACTGTGAATAATCCTTCTACTTCTAATCCGGTTGTAATTGCTGTAAATTCTCAGTCTAATTTCCTTTCTCGTGATGAGGATGATCCTCCACCGGAAGTCCCGACAAACATTCGCCAACTATTAGATCGATTCCCTGAAGTTCTGGCCGAACCTCGTGAAGTTCCCGAGCGTCCGGTCAAACACAAAATCGAGATAATAGAGGGGAGTGTTCCTCCAAAGGGTTGCGTCTACCGTATGGGACAAGGCGAGTTGGAGGAGTTGAGACGGCAGATTGATGATATGATTAACCATGGATGGATTAGACCTAGCGAGTCGAAATTTGGCGCACTTGTCTTGTTTGTGCCAAAGAAAGGAGGCAAACTCCGAATGTGCATTGATTATCGTCGCTTGAACCGGATCACCAGGAAGAATGCCTACCCTTTGCCTCGTATAGATGATCTGTTGGATGCGGCCGGTGGTTGCAAAGTCTTCTCCAAGATCGACCTCAAGTCTGGCTACCACCAGATTGAAGTTGATCCGAGTGACCAGCACAAGACTGCATTCAAGACACGCGATGGGCTGTACGAGTTCATCATTATGCCCTTCGGTCTTACGAATGCACCGGCCACCTTTCAGTGCCTCATGGACAAGGTACTTTGCCATCAACTCAACAGGATTGTGGTTGTGTACCTTGATGATATCTTGATCTTCAGCAAAACCATGGAGGAGCACCTCAAGCACCTTGAGGAAGTTTTGCAGGTCCTCAAGGAGGCGCAGATGCACCTCAACTTGGAGAAATCTGAGTTTGGGAGGGACAGCGTCATCTATCTTGGGCATCGGTTGTCTGCAAACGGCCTTGAGCCGGAGGCAACCAAGGTTGAGGTCATCCGAAATTGGCCTCAACCGGCAAACGTACGCAAACTGCGTTCTTTCCTTGGTCTGGCCTCATATTACCGAAAGTTTGTGCCCAAATTCTTTGTCATTGCTCACCCTCTCTCAAGACTAACCAGCAAGAATGTTGCCTATGCATGGTGTGAGAAGTGTGAGACTGCGTTCCAAGCCTTGAAAGAGGCATTGGTGAGTGAGCTTTACGCCCTGCGCGAAGCCCTCGCACATTGGAAACACTACCTCTTGGGTCGCCACTTCAAGGTCTATATTGATCATCAGACCTTGCAGTGGATTCAGACACAATCTGAACTCTCTCCTACATTGACCCGCTGGTTGCATGACATTGATGTTTACAGTTTTGAGTTGAAACATAAGAAAGGCTGTTATAACCGGGTTGCTGATGCATTGTCCCGCCATCCTGAATTCTTGACTTGCCTTGTGGGTTCATACGACCTCCGAAGGAAACTAAAGGAGGATCTGGTTGAACACACCGCCAAGGATCCGGACCTCAATCCCATCCTTGAGCAGCTCAAGGCTGACCCCAACAGTCAGCCTGATTTTCACGAATGCGAGGGTCTTGTCTTTCGTCGGTACGGAAAGTTTGATCGTTTATGTGTTCCCAACCATGCGCCTCTCCGGACTCACTACTTGGATTTGGCACATGGTCGGAGTGGACACTTCGGCTTCGAAAAGACATATGGGAGTCTTTTGCAGCAGTTTGATTGGCCAGGAATGAAGGGATCTGCTCAGAGATTCATCGCTGAGTGTCAAGTCTGTCAAAGAACAAAAGTCCATAGGCATAAGCCTTACGGCCTGCTGAGACCCCTACCAATTCCTGATGGTCCCGGGGAATCGGTCTCTATCGATTTCACGGACATGGGAAAGGTGAGTGCAGCAGGGAATTCACAAGTTATGGTGATTGTGGATCGCTTCTCTAAATTTTTGAACTTGATCCCTCTACCTCCTCATGCACCGACTGAGCTAGTAATTGAAGAATTTCACCAACAGTACATTCTGCAGTATGGACCCCCGAAAATTCTTCTGAGTGATCGGGATACCAGATTCATCAGCGCCGATTGGAAGGACTTCACGTCGCAGATCTATGACATTAAATTGAACAAGACTTCTGGTCGACACCCCGAAGCCAATGGATTGGCTGAGGAGGTCAACCAGACTATCATCCGACTACTCCGCGCATTGATTGTTCCAAATCAGAACACGTGGGATAAAGAGCTACACAAGGTAAAGGGACTGTATAACAATTCCATTCACTCTGCAACTGGCGTGACAGCAAACCAGCTGCAGTATGGATGGCCGATGCGCAATCCCCTCTCCTATCTGTTCCCAGAACGGTCACCTGGTCTGATGCCCGGCATGCCTGGCTACAATGCCAAGTACGCACGCTTGCTCAAAGCTGCTACTGCATCCATGAACAAGCGTCAGCATGCCATGATCAAACATGCTAACAAGCTGCACAAGGAAGAAAAGTTCAAAGTTGGGGATTATGTTTGGGTCAAAATGACTGAGTTTTCTGATGAAGAGGGCGTGTCACGAAAGCTTCTTCCACGTACTACGGCCCTTGGCAGATCCTGAAGGTGATTGGGGATGATTTCGGTCCTTCGTATGTGATTGACGTGCCTCCTCATCTGCGCACGTATCCAGTYTTCCATGCCTCCAAATTGTTCCCACACATTGATGATGAGACCTTTCCMTTYCGAGACCCTATGATACCTCGCCCTATTGACGRCGGCCATGAGATTRACARAATCGTTTCTCACGAAGGGAGMGGGAGGAACAGACAGTACAAGGTTCACTTCCTCTACCATCCGTTGMACGAWTTYTTCTGGATYRACCGGAAAGAGMYGCTGAAGAGTGCTCCACGTGTTGTGAACGCATATGAACGACAGATTGTTGATGGACAGACCGCTAAGTTTGCTGCAAAACTCACTCCGTTCGGTCTCACYAACACTCTCTTTYTKATCTATGCCTACGATGCCTTTTGTACCGACTCTGACTGAGTTACTCGCTCGAAGGGACCTCGCTCTCGAGAGGGGAGTAATGTAATGACCCGCCAAAAACACAGACTGAGAACACTGGTGACTTCTGGGATTTGCCAATGGAATGAATGCCTTGCTGTGATTCCCGCATTCTGCTGTGGTCCCAAGTCTGTGTGTATGCGTGCCTGCTGGTTTGCATGCCTGTCTGAGTGCTTGYCGGTTGTGTGTGTGTGCRTGCYTGCTGGKTTGCATGCCTGTCTGAGTGCTTGCTGGTTGGGTATGTGTGTGTGACCCGCAAGGGTACTTGTTGGTTGCAAGGCCCACCGGGCCGGTACTTACCTGTGGCCGTGACTTGGAAGGGTTGCAGGGGGGTAAACACGCTGGTAGCGGGGAGTAGGCCCACAACACTTAAGAGCAGCTGGGGAAAAACACTCAAGTAGCAGGTAGGCCGAGCAGAAGAAGATAAAAAGTTGGCATTTTTAGAGGCCCAGTAGCGGTAGGTTAGAGGTAGGCCGGTACCAGTCCAAGTAGCCCGGGTCTAGGGCCTGTGCGGACAATAACAGAGCCTGCAATGATGTTTCCCTCCAAAAAGGAGGAGGTACCGGTTGCTGGGAGGCCGCTTGGCCTAGGAAGTCACCGCCCAGGAGGCCGGTAGGCCGCTATATCTTCAGGAAGACCGGAGAGCTCTTCCTCATTTGCGGTATGCAAGGATTGGCGACATGCTGCTGGAGCGCAGCGCTGGTCTGAAGCAGCGCTGCTTGGAGGTGAAGGTCTGCTGGGGCTCAGCCTGGCTATGGCGAGCACCCCAGCTTGAAGGAGGAAGAAGGGGGACATGGTAGAAGAGTGGTAGGGCACCTACCTGGCTATGGTGGACACCGTCTTCATCACCTTGTTGGGCRCTGCATCTGGAAGGCYSCAGTTGGGGTAGMGCTGCATCAAGGAAGCTCGAGGCAGAGTCAGGCATGGCGGAATAAGTCAGCAGCACCATAGCTGCTCTGGGTTGTCCTTTGCACATCAGCGCAGCACCTTAGCTGCTTGGGTAGTCCTTGGACATTGGCGCAGCACCATAGCTGCTCTGGGTTGTCCTTTGCACAGCAAGGCAACCCCTTGGGAGTCCGCCATGGTCTAGGCACGAAAGAGGAGGTTGAAGGGGGAAGCCATAGCTATGGTGGACTGTTGTTGTTGTTGTTGTTGTTGTTGTGTTGTGAGTTGAGTCAGCAGTAAGGGGGAACTTCGGACATTGATTCTGGTTCATCCATTCATTGTTATTATTATTGTTGAGAGAAGAATAAGATTGGTGAAGAGGAGGAGGAAGGAGGAAGGTGGAGAGAGAAGGGGGAATTGTCATTGGTCTTGCTGGTGTACTTCTTCTTCTTCTTCTTCTTCTTCTTCTTCTTCTTCTTCTTCTTTTCTTTACCTCTCCTCTGGTCTTTATCTCTTGCAAGTGCTTTCATTTCTTTCGCAATTGGGTGGCATTGTCTTTCATTGTGAATTTGCACTTGGGAAATGACCAGGATCGTAGCATCTTCCTTTTACTTTTTCTCCATCGTCTATCTTTGTTCTTCTGTGTCTTCCTCATCTCTCTCCCCCATCTTCTGCCTTACCTCTCCACACATCATCTTCTTTTCCTGTCATCCCCTTCTCCTTCTTCACACTTGGTACCTTCATCCTCTTCTTCTTCTCTTCTTCCTCACCACCTCCCCCCGCGGCCCTCCAACACCCCCACCCTGCTCACTGTTTCTGCACCCTAGCACGACCCCCCTCCACCTAACCCCCGCAAAGGGCAATTCCAAACTTCAAAAATAAAAGAGGGATTTGTTATGTTCTAAATAAGTGCGGTGAGGCTACACCAAAACAAAAAAAAATGTTCTAAATATATACAAGTATGACCAGTGCAGCCACGCCTGCAGTTTCAGAATCAATACCATCTGATGTCTCTGTTATGTCATGCATCTTTAAACCACCAGTGCCTCGTCCAGCTAAGCTCTTTGGATGCCACCGCGTCTTAAGGGTGTAAGAGGCCGGTTCGGATGAAAAAGGATGGTGAGACCTTTTTGGTATTGGTGCCCCGTATGTGCTCACAGGTGCTACTGTAATGTGTTGGCCACACTAACGTGTAATGTTCGCCACAGCACTCGAACTGTACGGAAGGACATGCCGCTCCAAGATATGGCGCGCGCGCGCTCCTTGAAATGCCGTAGATACGTGTCTTCGCCATGAAAAAGCGATGTCCTATACCCCTAGACGAAAGGGACGAATGAATGTGCTCGTAGCTCAATTGGATAGAGCACCAAACTACGGATTTGAGGGTTGAGAGTTCAAGTCTTTCCAAGCATGGGCCTATAATCAGTTGGTTAGAGTATACGCCTGATAAGTGTAAAGTCAGTCCTGCGGCGGACACATCGACACGAACAAACGCCAAATCTAACCAATGAACGGTTTTGAAAAAATAAAACAACAAAAAAAATACAAAAACGACTAACAATGTTTTCGTACGGCAAAACATTCAGTTCACGGCCAGTTCAGTTCGTCATCTGGTGTGTGCTCCCTGTGGCCCTTCTAAGCGAAAAAAAAAGGGGCTGTTACCTTGATACGCCGCTGCCACCCTGTAGGCTCAGTAGGGCTTGGCGTGCAGGCATGAAAGAGGCTCCGGAAAAAAACTACCTCCAGGTACTGGTGGTTGAAGACTGGGAAAACACACACACACACACACACACACACGCGCATACACACACACACACACACACACACACACACACACACACACACACACACACACACACACACACACACACACATGTACGTGTGTGTGCCTCTTCCCTCCCCAATAAAAGGTCCTCCCCCTCCTCTCCTCTCCCTCTTTCTGTCCAAGAAAGATGGTTACAGACTGATTAATGCTGATCCGACAAAGAGACACGGCTAAGAAGAGCCTAATTTGCAGGAATAAAAAAGTCAGCTTTAGAGAAAGCAGGTAACAGGATACAGACACCATGAGAAATTTGAGACCATCAAGAGCAGAACCGAACACTGACTTGCGGAAATGAAAAGGGTAGCTGCCGCCGTGACCTTGCATGGAATATGGTTACAGACTGATTAATGCTGATCCGACAAAGACACACTGCTAAGAAGAGCCTAATTTGCAGGAATCTAAAATTCAGCTTTAGAAAAAGCAGGTAACAGGATACAGACACCATGAGAAATTTGAGACCATCAAGAGCAGAACCGAACACTGACCTGCCGAAATGAAAAGGGTAGCTGCCGCCGTGACCTTGCATGGAATTCCCCACTATCCCCCCCTTGTGCACGATTCAATCCATCTGGGCTGGGCCTTAGTTGCCGAGTGCTCTCATCCTTGTCGGCCAGAGGTTCCGGCTTGTCTGATCGCAAAAACTTGCACCCATTCTGAATCCACATTGGGGCAGCAATTGACAAGCTGATGCCTAAAAATGGCAAGGTTATTCCAAAAGCCAGTACGATTGACGATCGACTGCAAAACAAGAATGAAATCAAATTGTTAAGAATGTGGTGTCACACACCTATATGTATCCAGTGATCGTGCAGGACCAAGTGAACACACAAGTGAGGAGAAATAACAGTGCAAAGCACGGGAAGACTGAAAGACAGCAATCTGACTCATCAGACTCATGGACTCAACACATGCATTATCACACACCTCAAGATGCAAGGAGGGGCCACTGCACGTAAGAAAAGGAAAAACAAAAAAATGAGACAGCTAAGGTAGTGTTTGGAGTAAGGTTCATAACCCAACTCTTGGAACACAGACCTGAATCCGAATACAGAATATATTGCTGGCCTGCTCGTGTTCCTCCAGCAGTTCAATGCACGTTCTTCCACATGAGAGGGATCCCCACTAATTCTTTGCAGGGGAGCCTTTGGAAAGAGTCTAAATCCAGTACGATGTGTGCCCAATTTTATTTTTTTTTGTGCAGTTACAACAGCCTGCCCTTTTGATTACCACATTTGGTTACCACAGCCTGCCCTTTTGATTTTTTTTTTTCGTTTTAATTCATAATTGTGCCGCATCATGTGCGCGCGCATGTGTGCGCATGCGCTATGCCGTGCACATGGGCAACTTGCGCGCAAGTGATGCGTCGCATGTATGGTACACACACATATAACTACCTGTTTCTAAACAGCTCGTGAGTTTGAATCCTTGTGGAACAATATGAATATATCTCAATGTAGTAATGTTGGAGGCGCCCTCCTTTTCACAAAAGCGGTTGCACTCTCATGACAGTGTGTCTGGCCAGCCGAGTAGATGGAAAGATATGAGAACAAACCACCACCCCAAATGAAATTATTCATGTCTGAGTCCACCCAGAATGCAAACTTGCATTTACCATGCACAAGCCCACACAGAATGCCAAGCCGGCAAAACGTATCCCTTGGATCAAGAGTTGATCTGCATGACAGTAAGACAATTAGATGAGTCCATGCTATGGGTAAAGCTTTTACACTTGGATTTGTGTCTGAATGCACCACTCTTACGGAGTCTACACTTCTGACTCTCAGGTTCTTGACACATTTCTCTGCGCTTCGTTGATTTCTCATTGAGAGTGCCTCATCACGTCTATTGAGTTGTACTAGTTGAAAAAGCCAGAGAAGAGAAAAAACAGGGTAGCCAACTGCAGGGGAAAAACCTGAAGGAACATATTTCTTCACCAAGACAGCAAAAGCACCCTTCGGAAAGAAAAATTGTCAATGAAGTTTAGTGAACATCTTCCTCCAGCAAGACAACAAAAGCACCATACAAACAAGTGCCACCGAGGCAAGACTAAGGTTTGAAGCGAGTAAGATTAGGGCTTAATAGGTGCCTTACAAGACAATAGCAATAAATAAACCTTCAGCCAGAGTGAGAGCTGCTGCAATTGTTCCAATCTGCAAGGTAACAAATACATTGTCGAAATCAGCTTCACTGAAGGATGGGAGGGGAAAGAGAACAAGAAACAAGGAAGAAAAGGAAAACAGCCCCGACTGAAACGCTCAACAGGACCAGAAGGTCCAGAACATGAATCACTGAAAAACTAAATCGCAAGTGCGAGCCCTGTCCAATGGGGTCTTAGGCCCTATACAAGCAGGCCACACGTTTGATGTTCCGCTCTGACGGAGACCAGTTCAGGTTGAAAACAAAATTCGGTTGGGCAATTTAGGGCCTGCCGTACTGGTGCTTTAAACAGCCATGTTGCCCAAACAAAGCATATCAACAGCACCAATACAACCCTGGGGATCACTCGATAACCCATAACTGAAGAGGGTAACCATTATTAAGTTCATACCATTCATAGCATAACACACTGGCACAGACAAACTAGGCGGCGGGCCCCACAAATGCTACGTTCACCCTTGGAAAGCATGAACCTGGCCGCACATAGCAGTCAGGTTTGCGATTTCGCAGCATGAACATAGCACCAGTCGAGCCTGGCCTTCAGGGTCGAACATTTTTCATTTTCACTGTCAATTGAGTCGATGAACATGGGACGGGCAAACTAAGACATCACAAGCGTTTTCTAAAGTCAAAGCATTGCATGAGAACAAATCGGGGAGAAAAATGTTGTCAAATACGAAGTGTTTGGATTTGCATTCATTATTATGATTACTTCTGCCACTGAGCAATGATATGGGATGCAGCTGTGCAGTTAATAGTAGGAATTTGCCACAACAGCAGCAGAAGGGCAATCAATGGGACTAGCAGACAAACACAAAGCACAAGAGGAAGTTCAGGGCATCAATGTTGCATACCCCAACGGTCAGCGGCTCTTGACTGGTCGGCACCTACCGGTCGGAGGTTGGCGGGTCCACAACCCCTAATAACCCCACCAACACCCCGACGAAAAGGAAGTTTTTCTGCGATAGTGCCATTCCGGTGAGCGCTACCACACAGCGCTAATCCGCGACCCCGCACCACCTCGGTTTTCCGTTCACCACGGGAAACCGCCGCGCACACAGTCCGCATGTTTTCCTGCTCTTTCCAATTCGAAGTGGGCGAGATAGGAAGTGAGGCGCGAGTACGAGAAGCCGCGTCACGCCACGCCTTCAGGCGTGGCTTCCCCAAGCTAGACTTCGGGCAGACAAGCGCAAGAGACAGAAGGGGAAAAAGGGAGAGACGGAAAGGGAGGAAGACAGGACCACTAGGGAAGGAAGGAGAATGCGGACAGCCTAATGCGAAGCTCAAGGCCTCGATGAGCCCTACTGGGCCCTGTTTTCAGCAATATTGGCCGCCCTAAGTGAAGCCAGGCCTGACCAAGGATGAGAGGCCTATTTGGGGCATTCCACGCAACTGGGAAATTCAGGGAGTTGCGCAGCGCCAGTTGCTTGAGAAGAACCAAGGCCCTGCCTGCCTTTTTTTAATGTATCTGAGGCAGGCCCTGGGCTGGACACGGGGCATGGACTGCACACAGGCCGCTGGCAGTTGGAAACACGTAACCACCCCAGGCCTTGTGCCTGATTCCCTTGGACCGGGGCTCAGCCACTTGGGGCCTACCGGAAGCTTCTGAGCAGGGGCCCAGCACAGCCAGGCAGCAAGCAGCAGGCAGGCCATTTCCATATAGGAAAGTGCCTGCCCCCGCATTCGCCATTCGGGCACTTGCTACATGCTGCGCAAGCGCTGCTGCGCTACTGGCAGGCAAGCGCCCACGCACTCACGGGCGAGCAAGGTGCACGCAGGCAGCCATAGCCGAGTTGGTCTGCGAGGTGCTGGATGGGGCACATGGTGGTCCTTGGGTGCACTTGGCATCTGTGTGGGGGATCGAGGTTGTGAGTGATGCGTGAGACATACCTGGTGCTTGAGGCGAACGGCGTTGACCGAGATCTGCTCGTACTTCGGGGAGCTGTTGATGTCACCAGCGGAACTGTAGATAGGCTAGACAGGATCTGCCATTCGTAGTCCGGGCGCTGAGCGCCAGATAGGAAGTCAACATTGGTTCATTGTTGATGATGATGAGACTATTCCAACATTGTCACTTGTGAGCTTATGCTGTGCTCTTATTTGGTGGAACTTGAGTTGCAATTCTACTTTCGGTTCGAGGTCACGACTATCTGGTTTCATGTGTATGATGCTGCTTGGTTTCTGGAATTCGCTATCGCTCATTTTCCTTGCATTTTGGTATCGGAGCTGTGGTACGTTGCGCTAATCTGGCGCTTGTCTTCTGCCTATGTGGAACATGCATGCGGTGTGCTGGGTGAGCGGCCGTAGGAAGCGTGTAGTGAGGAGGGTGAAGGCAAGCAGGCGACCCAGGTAGGGAGGGGTATCGCCAGGAAGGCTGTGAGGTGATATTGGGTGTTCGCAGTGTGATGAGAACTATCTGATGTGCGGTTGACGCTGAGGAGGAACCGCGGTATAATAATGGTTGTGTCGAAGCAATGATCGGTCATCTGGTGAGAATATCTGTGGTTGGGGGCAGCTATTTTGAGGTACGTTGCTCTTAACCTTATCCACCCTCTTCGACACTTCTTACCGTGAGGATGTGTGTTCTGTCTTGAGAGTCCTCTCATGTGAGGAGTCGAGTGCGCTCAACCTTGAGAGTTGGAATTGTTCACGTGGAGCATCTGGAAGGAGAGGGCGGAGCTATCTGAAGGGCCCTGGACGAAGCACTGGGTCACGGTCACCATGCCAACCCACCGGGAGTACAGCACGCATGCTTTGCTGCGTTGTCCTTTGTCTGCCTGCTGCGTTGTAGATGGGTTATGAGGGGCACGCCAGCCCTACAATCGAGACGAGTACTGGACGTCTATAAATAAATACTGGCGGGGTTACCTTCCACTGGCTGTGATCGTCGTCCTGTTTGCGACGTTAAATAATTCCTGAGGGCTTCGGGGGCCGTCCTTAAACGCCTCTTGATCGGCCTATCGGGTCGGTGTAAGGCTCGCTGCACGCGAGTGTAAACATGGTGCAGGGCTTGCCGGCTCAGCATTGACTCGGGGCACAGGGGTGGGCCGTGTGCACACCTTTAGACACGCACGCTATCTGGATTGCTCAGGGACGCTGACGTCAAGTCACAATAAGGAAGAACTGAGGAAGGGGTAGATTTCAGGTGATAAGTTTGGGAATGATTCCACTCTGCCAATATTCATTTAAATGATTCAATTTTTACTTTTATTAGTTAGATGTACAACCATTGACATCTGGCAAACAGCATAGGTAGAAATTACTGCTTCTGCTCATTTGCTTTCTGTTTGCGAACTAGTCAGGTAAAATAGTTTTGTTTATAGGAATCTGGACTTACCTGTTGGACCCAACTGTGTATACTCTGACATAGCCACCGATTAATAAGTCGGTCTCATCACTACGCTGTGGTAGGCAACTGAGTGAAACCTAGTGCAGACAGTGTACGGTGCAGTAGCTTACGCGCGACAGGGAGGTTCCTGACCCGGTTGATAGTATCTTGTGATCGGCAAGACGCCCGTTGGTCCACGTAGCCTTAGGATCAGAGGGGAACTGTTTTCTGTTCCGCCAGCTTAGGGAGAGACAGCAACAGCAGCGGAGGGCTAGGGACACAGACCCAAGCAGAGCCTTCGCAAGCGAGGCAGCTACTTCAGCAGCCATGGCCACTGCTGCGCAGCGAAGTTCCCAGGCCAGTAGTTCAGGGGCGATAGAGGCGACGGTCGCATAGACCCTGAGTCAGTCCGCTGGCGTTATGGCAAGCCAGCCGTTAGTGTTAACTCCCCAGGAGGTCGCCATTCAGCGAGCAAGTGCTCGCGAGGCACAGCTACAGCAGGCTTTAGATGAGATACAGGCAGAAAAGGAGAGAATGATCAAGAGAAGGTCAAGGATGCAACCGAGACAAGCGGACATTAGAGATGTAACTGACCAATACGGATGAAGATGTGAGAACCGTGAGGACAGCCCTGTTAGATGTGTCAGAGATGCAGGACTACCACACGAGCTCTTGCAGGACATTCAGCGGAGCCTGGCCGTGCTGGTCGGGCGAGTTCAGGCCGTACCATCACCGTCAGGGCCTGGTGCCTGGCCCATGGTACAGCCTCCTCCTTTTGTCCCGCCAGTGACGAGAGTAGCCCCATTTGCAGTCTCTCCAGCTTCGGTGCATTAGGTATGTCTTTGACAGGCGGGTTACCAGCAGGTCCTAGTAAACAGGTTCCTGTTCAGACAGTGTTCTCCCAACCTCCGTTGCAGACTGTCGTAACTTGGCAGCCTGCCGTCTCGCATATGGCACACAGCCCCAACAGCAGCTAGTGCAAGCACCGGAACAAGGACAGTGGGTTCCCAAGACTGCCATTGCTTCGCCCAAACCCTTCTCAGGGGATAACAGGGGTGAGGACCTCGACACATGGTTGAGGTTAGTGCCAGTCTATGTTAAGTGCAAGCTTACCTTGCCTCACGAGGAAGTGCTTGTGGCTGCCTCCTACCTGGAGGGGAATGCAGCAAGATGGTTAAGCGGGTACGTTATCGGGGCGAATACCCTTACAAGGGTATTTGCCCTCATTTTTATGATTGACGTAACCATGGGATCGGTCGCCAGGAGAGTGCCGAACAAAAAATAAACAATACATGTGGTCATCAGGATGGCTTTACGGACGAATATCTTGGCCAAAGAAGACCGAGGGTTCCTAAACATATAATTTGACTCCTAAGCCAAACGAACCAGACAGATGACAACGCTCACTTTACACATTGCGTGCTAAAAACAAAAGGGATACCCCCTTCGACTGTCTGAGCCGAAGGGGATAGGACGGTTAAATTCGAGACAGACGACAACGTGCCCGAATAATGGATGAAGATTATAATACAAACCCAGCCGTAAGCCCGGGAGTGCGAAGGTAAAATCAAAGGAGTATCCGTCCATATGATCTGTTCTGCACCGAGTCATGCCAAAGGCTACACTTAATCAAAATTGTCCTGCTTCAGACCGAAGTAGGAGCTA